TGTCTATGTATACTCATTCATACAAAATATCTAGTGTTTCTCTTTACAGATAAATTCTTGAATGACTCACCGGCAGAAGATATAACAGTTCCCATGGTTTTTCTAACTATAGCCATATACTTGGTTAGATTTTTCTGCCCATTTTATGAGCAGGGAATTACTTGAGTGCTCACATGACAAAGAGAAAATTATTCTACTCCTTTCTGTCTCTGATGTAATCAAATTCTAGATCTAGTTACTTAGTAACAGGATTTACCCAGTTCTACAAACCAGGGTAACTTGTTTATATTTTTGTTAACATTGAGTTCAATTTTCTTTCAATTTCCCATGTAATTTTTCTTCAATATGAATAAAGCTAACTATATTTCCTAGCTGATAATTTTGGAGCCAGAAAGTGTGATCAAAACTCCCAGAGAGTTGCAAACAAAATCATTACAGACAGACAGACAGACTCCAAGACAAATCATGACAAAGCTGTTGAGAACCAATGGCAAAGACAGAATATTAAAAGTATCAAGAGGGACCTCCCTGGTGGCTCAGCGGTTGAGCGCTGGACTGTGAAGCTGCCCGCAGCCTCTGCAGCCCCAGTTCAATCCCTGGCCACCGGGGAGGGTCCCACATGGCTCCCAGACCTCTCCTGCCGTGCCCACTGCTCCCCTCAGCAGTGTATTTCGGTCCTTCTGCCTGTTCTGCTCCCCACTCTGGCCCTGGTGGATTCTCTCACCCTCCCACGCTTCTGACTGTACCCAGTGCTTGTATAAATAAATAAATAAATCTTTAAAAAAAACCACAAAAGTATCAAGAGAAAAAAGGGTGACCTATAAGGTACCCCAATCAGACTAATAGAGCAGATGAATAGATCGAGGAGACATGTGACAATATTCAATATTCTGAAATATTCAATATTTTATAGGTTTACTCATTTTGTGACATGTGTTTCTTAACATTACTTCTCATTCCTGTTCAGTGGAAAGTTTGCAAATGCCTCAAGTTATTTATCCAGGATACGTTTGACGGGCGCATAGATACAGATTTTGGGCTTTATGATTAATATATGTTCATTTTAGTATATGTCATTGTTTGAAAATATGGAAACGTTTCCACCTGACCTATAACTCAGATTATTATTGCTCAGAGTATATACATATATGGTCAGGCATAAGAAAGATTTAAAACAGTTTTTAACGGTTATCACCATCTTGTAAAACAAAACCAATGTGTTCGAATTTAAATGACCCAGGACATTGCTTACATTTGATATGTTCAATCAAAACTTTTATTTTGTCCTATCTGCAGTAGATAAAATGTTATCAAATTACACTCTTCATTAACATTTCCCTGTAACTAAAAATTTTATTATCTTTTCAAATGCTTACTGGCTATTGGAGAGACTCTTTTACAAAGGGACTGACTTCTTTGGTCAATTTCTATTAGAATATACTTGATATGCGATCCCTATATTCTCAATATGATCATTTTAATGTGTTTAAAAGCATATCTTGAAATATCAAGTCTTTCATTTTCATTTTTAATGATATTTTTATTTAAGAGAAAGACCAGCTTATTCCCAATGTCCTATTTAATAAGTGAGTTTTCACTCACAGATTTTATTTCAAGTAATTTAGTTTGTTGTTGGTTCATAAAGTTATTGTTCTCTGTATTCATTTGGTAGTTTATTCATTTACCTTTGACACTCATATCTTCAATCCTTCTTAAGTGGTCTTCGTGTACAATGTAAGGGAGAGATACAGATACACTGTTCCTGTATGGCTCTCAGTTGCCTAACACAACTATTGAAGTACATTTGGACTCTGTACTATTTCACTGGTCATTATTTACATCTTATTTTCTATAGGCCTAAATACATAGTAGTTTTTTCTTTTTCTCATGTTATTAGGTGAGTGGGGTTTCTAGAGACATTGTGTGAAGAGCTAGGTAGACTTTCTCCTTAGTGCAACCACCAGTTAATGATGAAAATAAAACAAAACAAAACAAAACAAAACAAAAACCTGTCTTTTGAAATTGGTCGAATGGCATACAAGAAGAAATGGAGAAGTTTTCTCTAAAAAAAATTTCCAAATCTTGGGAAAAGCAGAAATCAGCTCTGGCATTTGACCTAGGTTATTCTTCTCCCTACATCAGTGCTACTTGCAGTATGTGGATAGACGGCACCAAGAAAAAATGGGTTCATTGCACCCTTATAATAGCCTCATCTTGCCCTTTGTTTTTACCCAAGCTGTTCCCCTCAGCAGTGTATTTCAGTAGATCTGACTGTTCTGCACCACACTCTGTCTCTGGTGAATCCTCTCACCTTCCCTGTCCCCCACCTCTGGTCTGCACCCCAGTTCTTATATGCATAAATAAATAAACCTTTAAAAAATCAAAATTTATGATTAATTACTAGAAGAATAAAATAAAAGGGGGGAAGCAGGAGAAATTATAAATAGTAACAAGATGATTCAGATATGGAGCAAGAAGATATAAAAAAACTGTGACTAATAATTTAAGAATAGAAGAATAATTACATTCTATGAAATAGAATGTAGACTATCCGTAGCGAGTTGGAATATATATAAATATCTCTTTTCACTTTAAGGTCTCTAGTATTAATCATGCTAGAATATTTGATATATTCCATATATTTCTTTTCTCATATTTGTATACTTTTTCCTCTTTTGTAGATCTCTGAAGGGTGGGGGAGGGGAAGGGTCTACAATGACCTCGCCACCAGATAATTAATTCTGAAATCTGATGTGTTAACTGCTATTTAAACCATTCACTGAATTCTTTCAATATTATAAATGGTAGAACTACCTAAAGAGATAGTTTTAGGTGGATGAGATTGAGAGGAAGAAACTCACATTTTGGGAAAGTTCAATTTTGTTTAGGTGGGTGTGCTATTACAAATATTTCATATATGACTATTGTGTGCCTGGAGTTTGAGAGAAAATTGAACTTTGCTATTTTTTGGCATGAGTTTACAAGTATAATTTCATTAAATATCAGAATTTTGACATCAGTTGTCCTAAGATGGCTTAAATAAAGAGCTTTTTTATATTTGTAGTTTTTGTTTAACAGGGACATACATCTGAGAAATTTTGAAAAGGTTTATTATATTACATGCATTATTTTATCTTCACAATAGCATAAATATGTATTATTTTCAAGCATGTTCAGCTCAATTGCTATGAGACATAAATGGAATCTCTGGTTTTAGTTTTGAAAAGAAATCACCAAAACCTTTTCTATTGTAATTATGCCATTTTCATTTACTAATAATGGTTAAAAATTCAGTGGCTCCACATTTGACCAATGTGTCAGTTTTACCTATTCTGATTCATTTTCTAAGAGAGGTCATGGATGGAGAGAATTTTTAATTTTGATGAATCCTAAGAGTTTTTATAATTTAGTTTTCATTGTTCTGAAAGGTTTGTGTGGCTATATCATGAAGACAGATCTTACAAATTCTTATGTATTTTCATTTTTATTCTGGCCCAAGCTACAACTCAGTTCCCTTTGTATATCATAAGGTGAAGGTTTGTGTTTGTTCTCTTCCACATGGATCTATCACAAAAATGTCTTCAAAAGAATTTTGTGATCCCTAGTTTTTGTTATTGAAAGTGGAAAGACCATATAAATTTATTTCCATTTCTACCATTTCAAGTTATTCATGAGGGACATTGGATAAATAATCTATTATGTAAATATCAGATGGTGATAAAAATATAGGAATAATTGTAACATACTTTTCTTTCAGTTAAAAGAACTCAGTTTCCTTGCACTGAAGAGACCATGAAAGGCTTTCCTTTGTCTTTTAATATTCTATATCCAGAAAACAAAATGTTGTACCATCTATTTTTCTTATCATCAAGTCATGTAATTAATTTAGTATGTAAATTAATTTTTGGCCTAATTTTGTAAATATTTGGCCTATCCATTATTAGACCAATGTAAAATTTTTGCATATGCCTTTGAAGTCTCTAACAATTTGGTTAAACAGGCAAATATTATTTCATAATAATCTGTAATCTTAAGTGTCTTAAGGATTTTCAAAACTTTTAACCCACTCTCTAGAAACCAATTCCACATAGTTTTGTTATTAGTTGCTGTGAAATATTTCTCAGAGGAATCCTACAATATCATCCCTAAATTTGTTTTCTCCCCTTATAAAAGGGGACATAGATAACATATTAATTTGATGTTAAATTGCATGAAAACAAAGACAAATACGTATCCTCAAATTTATAAGCTTCCTAAAAGTCTGTTTTATTTTAACATATTATTACCTATAATTTTGACCATTGTTTAAAAATATGACATATCAAAAAATTAAACAAATGTCCTTATCATTCATAATCTTTCCTCATATACTGACCATGAAATGTTACAATCTTTTGTGATTTACTGACACTTATTGTTTTACCTGTATCTTTGAATAGTCTGTTTCTTCTTCAGAGAGGCTCAAGATGTGAACTTTGATTAGTATTCTAGAAAATCAATATCTCATCATTTTAAGTTCACAAAAATGGACCTACCAGATGACCCAGCAATACCTCTCCTAGCTACTACCCAATAATACAAAAATAGTAATTCAAAGGGAAACAAGCTCCCTATGTTCATTGCAGCACTAGTTGCAATAGCCAAGCCATGGGAACAAATTAAGTCCCAACAACAGATAAGTGGATCAGGAAGATGTGCCATCTAAGTCCATGGATACAAGATGGGTAATGAAAAGATAAGTCTTGCCATCTATGAAAACATGGATAGAAGTGGAGGGGGGTTATGTTAAGCAAAAATTATCAAAATAGAAAGACAAATACTGGATAGTGTCACCTACATGTGGAATATAGAGAATCAAATGAAGGCAATGCATGTTGTGGTAGAGCATTCTCTGTGAGAAAAAGCAGATAACAATGGAGGTCTATTTGAAACTGAGATCCAGTAAATTAAACAGACACACGCACCCTGTCAATGAGCTGTGTCTTGGCTGGAGGAAGTGGGGGGAGTATAAAATTCATGAAAAAATTGAATAACAATTGCTTTGATAAGGGAAAGTAGAAATATTTGAGGAATTAACATATTTTGCAAATGATTTAATACATCATGTTTATGAACCCAAATATAAAAAACTCAGGATTTCAATCAATAAACAGTGACACATGGTGTACCATTTCTATTTCAAGGAATCTAAAACTTAATGTATGGGCAAGTTCTTTGGGGATTGAATTTCCCTTTTGTATTCATATGTTTTTCCTTTTCTTCTGTGAATTCAAAACATTCTTTACTTCTTTAGACTGAAGTTGGAAACATTAGCTCATCTTAGGTTAGTAGATAGATTCTTCTGATTCTTCTTCGCTGTTTGTCTCAAAGGTCAGCAAAATCATAACAAGCACAGAAACTATAAAATAATATAAACGTATCAACCAAAATCCGAGAAGGTATATAAAATTTTCTTCTATGGGTTCTTGTCTTGGAGGGGGTGGGCCACTGTCGACACTACCTCCATATCCTGCTTTCTGGCATGAGGGTGGCTCCCACTCTGGGTCGCAGTGGCAGTTATGTCTATTGTTACAGACCCCACTCATGTTGCAGGTCTCCCGTGAACAGTAACTATTCCAGAGTATTGTAGGGACACATTTCCTCTGGAGGCAGATATGGTCCATACCACATTCTGTTCCGTCTTTCACTTCCCCAATGTCAGGAATGGTCATCCCAAAATGGTAGTCTGTACCCCAGCAGGTTACCCCATTGAAGTGGGCCCAGTGCACTGTAGTGTGATCGCTCAGAAGGGGGAGTTCTCTCACACCATCACACTGAACCCTCCCACACAGGACGTCTGCGATTGCACATTTGACATAAGCAGGACCTTTCCACCCACAGTGACCAAAACGGTCTCCTCGGGTGTTCACTTCACTATAGCATATGTGATTTGCATTCTTAGCCTCTTTGCCAAAAATTTGCCTACACTGCTCCACACGGTCGTTGCATCTCTTTTTATAGCAGTGGCCACTCTCTGAGCAAGGAACCCCATCCTGCACATACACATCTTCTGGACAGAGGTAGGATGTTCCGTTGCACCACTCTGGAAGGTCACATTCGTTTTCCTGCTTTCTACACAATGTGCCTGGTGGCCTGAGTTTGCAGTATTTGCAACAAAGCCCAAAGGCACAGGCAGCCCCAGGTGTCAGGGTGCAGTCCGACTGACAGCAGGGATCATTTGCACAGGAATTGATGCAACCACAATCACACTCTTCTCCTTCTTCCACCACACTGTTCCCACAGCGTGTGTGTTTGAAGATGATGTCTGAAGGTACCTTTAGACATGTTGTTTTGCCAACATAATTCCAAAAGGCAGCATAACTGCAGTTGCTAAACTTAGTTGCTCTCACTTTACTTGGAAGCATGATGCAGTTCCTGCTTCCACAGGTACAAAAGCTGTCATCATGGAGCATTCCCAAGTTATGACCGAGCTCATGTGCCACAATGTAGGCAAAGTCATAGAGCAGGTCAGAAGTGAAACTTTCAACTGCGCAGTTATATACCTGCGAACATACTGCTCCTACGTAGGCTAAGCCAAGATCGTCACCAAAATCTTGCTTTACAAAAGCATGTGCAGCATCATGTGGCAAGCGGGCTTCAAAGCCTTGCCTCTTCCATTCACAAAATTGAAACAAGAAACGGTTAATGTCATCTACTGGAAGGAGGTTTGATTCAGTCCAGACTTCAATGCCCATTAAAACTACTTCAACTTCCAGGGACTTGTAGAAACCACCCACATCATTTATAACAAGGCACACATCTGCATACACCTTGGAGACATTACTCTCTTTATAAAGGTACCGGTTGTGGTCGACCACCACTGCCAGCTCCACAATCTGCTGGTGGGTCCACCACCCTTCATACCCGCTCTGCATCAGCGTGGGGTCACTGTCCTCCTGAAACTTCAGCTGTCGTGCTATTTCTTCATCTGTTAACCCACATCTCATGGGTAGGCCTGTCTCCTCGCTGTCCAACTTGTACACCAAGTGTTCAAATATGGTAGAATGTTCTTTGGGCTCGATTTCATAAATGGTGTCATTTATCTGTAAGATTCCTCTAAGGCCACCAAAACAGGTGCTGAGGACCACCAGGGACTGTGGGTCCCCCACCACATAGCCATGATAGTAGCAGTCATTCTGGACAACTGGATGGTCCTCAATGAGGGCACCCTGGTCGGTGTAGCTGAACACCGGCAGGTGTCTGGCCAGCAGATGCTTCTGGACTCTCACGTGGACAATGTGTCTCTGTCCCCCAAAGTGCAGGCTGTAAGAGAGCCAGTCCTGAGGTTTCACAACTCTGTCAGGGCCTGTCACTCTGCGGGGAATCACCACTTCTGGGGGACTGTGGAGCTGGGCGTGCCCCATCCGAGCCCACCCCCAGTGGGACAGAAACAGCCTGAGCCAGAGGAGTAGGAGAGAGAGCCTCACTGGCACCAGGGCCTCCTGCCCTGCCATCGTGGAGCCAGCACATGGGGCTACTGGGGAGCAACAGGGGGTGGGGCAGGAAGCATCACTGATGTGTCTCTTCCCTCTGGCATGGCTGTGCAGGGCTGGCCTTGACCCCCTGTCCTCTGGCAGTGTCACAGCCCCAGGGCAGCAGCTCTAAAGAGAAAATAGAAGGAGGGGCTGAGTCAGGCCAAAGGGAAGAAGGGAGAGGATTTGGCTAAATGGATCAGAGTTCAGCTAAGACAGGAGCCCACACTGTTTTGTATCTGCCCTGAGACATGGTGAGCCAGGGACACCGTGAGGGTGTGGAGAGCAGGGAGTGGACAGGCTGACACCTGACATCCAGATGTGTGCACATGTGGATTCATTGCTCTCTCATCTAAACACAGGGATGTGTACGAACATTTCCTCAGTAAATGTGTAAACAAAAGAGTATAGAAATGTGTACAGAACATGTTTTGATAGACAAGTTTTGATTAAACACATAGACTGGTATAAATACTAATATATAGGTTTTCCTTTCAATTGTAATTGAGAATTTAGTCATGATTCTCAGATCAATGTTAAAATACTAACATTTATTATTTCTTATTGTGCATATATTTATACAGGTAACATTTATATGTGTCACCTATGTGTATATGTAGCCAACATAGTACATTTCATAGATGCTATTATTTATATCACATATATAATTTATTATATTTAATATTTGTTTAACCTATTATTTCTTGACTATTTCCTCTATGCATTATTTTTCACCTAATCCTGTCAGCATACAAGGATCAAAGCATCAATTTCCTACACACACATTAGTATCTACCATGATGGTTATCATCTGCAGATAATGGTCTGGAGAAGCAAATGCTTGGGTGAACAGGTAGATATTTGTGTTAGTCCTTGATTATATCTTAATAAGATAAGACCATGTTTCAAAACTTCTGGACAAATGAAATGGAAAAAAAAATGCTAAATGAAAATGAACTGTTGGAAATTGGTGTATATTGATGGCAAATAAAGTCCTTTTGGAAATGTAAACAAAATCAATACATCCCAAAGGCAGAAACAAAAGTAATGGGGAAGTTAAAATTTTACAGGAGCAAAGATATCAAAGTCCTTGCATTTGGGGATGAAAAGGTAACCAAATCCAAGTTCAACTCTCAAATGTATTGATCTCAAATCAAATTTACACATATATACCTTATTTGGTAAATGCAGAAATAAATGTATCTCAGTAACTTAAATGTTTGCACTTGTTACTGAAAATGAGCAATCTTGTGCTAGCCCATGGCTTGGCTGCCAACTCTGAAAGTAATTCACGGAATATTTATGGAAATTTTAAAATGTGAAAACACCCAAATTGTGATGTGATATTTAGGATATCCTAAATATCCTTTAGGATATTTCAATAATTTATGCTCTTAATATTTCATCTTTCTTATCGACATTTCTTAACTTTGTGATTTGTAGTGAATTCTTCTTCAGTATATTAAATCTCATTTGAAATTATATGTTGTGTGTTTTTCCTGGAATACTTGTTATTAAATTTCACAATGTTAGTTTAAATTGTAACACCAAGAGTTCTCCATTTGGTGTATTCAATAATGGATCTGGTGTTTTCATTTAATTTTCTGTGTTTTTTTTTTCTATAACAGATAATTTATAGGGAAGTTGTTTCAGTCTGTACATCCTCATCATCATTAAATTAATATTTGTTCTCATACTATGTGTGTATTTTTCTAGTGCTAAAATGAAGAATTTCACAAAATGCTTAAAGTTCATCTGTAAAATGTGAGAAAACATCTGTAAAATGTGAGATAACATAACTATTTGCTCTCTGTGTCTCTCATTACATCTGCTGATTATTATGCATTATGAGTTATTATTGTGATAGACAATAATTGTAAATAATATAGCTGTTGAGTGTGAGTTTTGCCAATATAATACCACCAGAATATTTTCCTAACATCTTGTCTTGCAAGCAGGTGACAGGAAAATGATCTCCAGAGAATATATTAGCTAGACTACATTTGTCTCAGAACATTATTTTATTCCAGAGCTCAGAAGCACATCTCTTGGAGAATCTAGCATCATCATCAGTGCTGTCTATCATTTGTAAAGGAAGAGAATTTCAAGTGACATGTCTTTCATAAATATTTGTCTACCCAAGTTTCATCAAGTTGATCAATTGCTATACCCCAATTTCCATTTTGGTTCTTACCCTCCTTCAGTAACAATCAATTAAAACATAATTTTGTGCTTTTGAAAAGTGACGTTAAGTAGAATAGGGGAAAGTAAACGTAGATCTTACTCAAAACCAGAAATCTTGGTAAAGACACATGGTGTGTGTGTGTGTTATATTCAAGCCTACACAAATATTAGTGCTTCTCCTTACAGATAAATTATTGAATGACTCACCAGCAGAACAAATCCTAGTTCCCATGGTCCTTTGTAAGGATAGTTAATTAAAAACGGTTAATCATTACTGCCCATAATTATGAGTAGAAATTTTTCTTGAGTGCTCACATGACAAAGAGAAACATAATTTCTACTCCTTTCTGTCTGTCTCTGATGTAATAAAATTCCAGATCTAGTTGCTTAGTAACAAGATTCATCCAGTTCTACAGACCAGGGCACTAGTTTATGTTTTTTCCTCACTTCGACTCTTCAATTTCTTTTCAATTTCCCACAGCATTCATCTTCAATATGAGAAATCTAGCTATATTTCTTATGACATTTTATGGATCCAGAATGTGTTATCCAAAAGGCCCAAAGACCTGCAAACAAACTCGTAACAGACAAACACCAAGACACAATATGACAAAGCTCTTGAGAACCAATGGCAAGGATATTAAAAATACCAATAAAAAAGGGTGACCTATAGGGGAACACCAATCAGACAGAAGTATCTGGAAAGTAGTCAAGAAGACATGTCACATACACACCATGGCAAATTATACAGACACAAGAAAGGATGAAATGCAGCCATGTCCAACAAAATGGAGGGACTTTTTAGCAAATTATATGCAGCAAAGTAAATCAGAACAACAAAAACAAATATTGGACATTCATGCAACATACAATTTGACAAGGTAAAATACTATAATAACTAGTAGACATCAACAAGCATCCTGAGGGTTCTAAGGTTGAGGCAGGCAGGAGGGAACAGGACAAGGAAACACAAAAGATGGTGGAGTGAACACAACAAAAATAAATTGAATGGGATTACATATGAAAGAAATGAAATCATTAAAGAATGATTTGGAAAATATGCATTTTACTACATGCCATGATTTTGTGCCAAAAGGCCAAAGAAATGAGAGTTCCTATGTTCTTCTGAAAGGGTTAAATTTATTATAGAATTCTGAAGTAACACAATAATAAAAATCACAAGAGTATTATGCGTAAAATTAAATAAAATTCAATGAAGAGGTTACTATGTCACACCAAAGTTACATTATTAGAAGAAATAGATTCACAGATAAGCAGCCCAATGTCAGAAGGAAAACAACACAACTCCTTTTTTTTTTTCAATTAATTTTTTAGCACAACAAATGCGTGAAATAAAGTGATCAAAATATTGGTTAGACAGCTGTGATTTGAGGTGAGAATTCACAAATCAACCGGTGTGATTATTATCAGTTCCCATTTATTTACTTGTGCCCATTATTATTTTAAATATTTCTGAGCTGTAAATGATGTGATTGTTCATAATTATTCTATATCATCTATCTTCCTCCTCTCTTACTTTCTGAAAGTTTCCATTACATGTTACCTGTTTATTAGAAATTTAATCTTGCTGATAAGTGGTATGAAGAATGGCTTTTATTTATATTATAAATTGAGAATAAATATGATTTCTTTTTTTAATTGTTTTAAAGATTTTATTTCTTTTTACTTAGAAGAACTGGGGTACAGGCCAGAGGTGTGGGGGGTGAGAGGATCCACCAGAGACAGAGTAGGGAACAGAAAAAGCAGAATGACTGAAATACACTGCTGAGGGGAGCAGCGGGTGAGTCAGGAGAGGTCTGCTGCACCATGTGAGTCAGCTCCCTGGCCCGGGATCAAACTTGTGCTGCAGTGGCTGCAGATAGCTTCATAGTGCTGAGACTTAACCCCTTGCACAACCAGGGCGGTCCTAAATATGATTTCTTTATTACTGAAGTCATCGGCAATACTGTTGCCTGTTGAGTATCTGTTTCATTGCCCTTATTTGAAAAAAATTAAAATTACATAAAAAATTCCAGAAAATTACATTTTATACTAAATTCTGTGCCCATGTTGACCTCTTTTTATTTGAAAATATTAGTGCAATGAACAATGATGAGTTACTGCTAATTGAGCAAGGGTTTTTAAGTATTCATATTAACCCCTCTTCAATTGCCAGTGCATTGTCAACGATATATTTATAATTAGAATCACTTTCATCTTGTGACTTTAATTGATTTTACCATTCTGTTTTCTAATTTGTTTCTTTCAAGTCTCATTTCATGATGAAAAACATACCATGAACTAAATTTGACAAACCTCCACCTACTTTAATGAAACACCTGTGTTGACATGAACTGTATATTTGAGGAGGTTCAGACTGTGTTGTCTCTTTCTAAACCAAGGGAGGGCAAGAGTCAGAGAGAGGTCAAGCTGTGTCACACAAAACCCAGGCTAAGCTGTCACTATCTCAGCTTTTTCATACATTATATTTAATTATTTATTTAATATGATGTACATAATTTTATACTTTCAAAAATACTTGCTACCCTATAGTTTCATAGTATGGATTAGTTTTCTGTGTGCTTTCTAGAAATGTAATGGGAGTTTCCTAGGAGTGTTATTCCCCATTCATAATCTACTGTATGTTTTATTTTATTTGATATTTTGTAAGTTCTCCCAATTTATGATATGGATTTCTTAATATTCCTTCTCATCTATGTTTGGTATAAAGTGCATGAATATACCACAAGTTGTTTATTCAGCAAAGCCTTGACAGGCTGTTGGCTGCAGTTTTTGGACCTTGTGATTAATATAGCAATTATCATTTTAGTACCTGTCATTTGTTGAAAATATGTAAAGATTTCCATTGCACCTCTAGCTCAGATTGTAATTGCTCAGAGTATATACATTTATGCTCAGGCATAAGAAATAGTTTAACAGTGTGCCAATGAGTTTGGAATACGTAGCACATTTCAAAGTGATCAAAAAGGTCTCCGGTGGGTGTGTTCACTTCACTATAGCATTGGTGCTTTGCACTCTTAGCCTCTTTGCCAAAAATTTGCCTACACTGCTCCTCACTGTTGTTGCATCTCTTTTCATTTTAGTGACCACTGTCTGAGCAAGGGACCCTGTCCTGCACGTACACATCTTCAGGCCAGAGATAGGATGTCCTGTTGCACCACCCTGGAAGGTCACATTCATGTTCCTATTTTCTACACGAGGCGGCTGATGGCCTGAGTTTGCAGAATTTGCAATGAAGTCCACAGCACAAGCAGCCTCGAGTGACAGTAGTCTGAGAGGAGACACGGATCATCTGCCACAGCAGAAGCCACATGTCCTCCTTCCACCACCACCCCTTTCTGGACTTCTCATCTAACCCTGTCAAACTGCAGCAGGCAGGACATCAACTGTCCTTCAGGGAGATCACTGTCTAATGTACTTGTAACAGGGGTGTCCCCAGGAAAAGGGGAGGTTCCAGGTTCCCTGCCCCACCCGAGGGAGGGTGGAGCCGAGCAGGGAGGAGGAGAAGATAGAGAGGAGACTGGGGAAGGAAGAGGGGTGGAGAGCTAGGAGACCTGGCGGAGGCACGTGGAGCAGAGAGACATGTGAAGGAGCTGCATTTGCTTCTCAGTCCTGGACTGGGTGAAATAGCCATGGGTGAGAGTCGCTGGGGAGGTGACAATGGCAGCTTTTATCTTGGTTTTGATTTTGTTCTTTTCTTCCAAGACTTGTCTGGTTATTCCTAACCCTTTTCTATGGGTCCCCATTGGAAGGTTCTTTAGCTTGTGGCAGGCTTTGGGGCCTTGCTCTGGGCCAATCCTGCTTGGGTGGACTTTTACCCACGAGGGGACGGGTAACTTTGGCTGCTTGATTTGAAAACTATATTCTATATCTTCTCTGTATTGCACACTAATTGCATTAAAGTTCTTTTCCACAAAGGTCTGTATGTTTTGTCTGGATGCGACAGATGGTAGAACCTATTTAGAGCAGGCAAGTTTGGGGGGGTTCTCTGGTACCCCTCTCCCTGCCTGTAAGCCCCTGACACAGGTGCTGGGGACAACCAGGGACTCCAGGTTCCCCTCCACATAGCCATGATAGTAGCAGTCATTCTGGACAACAGGATAGTCCTCAATGAGGGCGCCCTGGTCGGTGTAGCTGAACACAGGCATGTCTCTGGCCAGCAGATGCTTCTAGACTCTCACGTGGACAAAGTGTCTCTGTCCCCCAAAGTGCAGGCTGTAAGAGCCAGTCCTGAGGTTTCACAACTCTGTCAGGGCCTGTCACTCTGCGGGGAATCACCACTTCTGGCGGACCGTGGAGCTGGGCGTACCCCACCCGAGACCACCCCCAGTGGGACAGAAACAGCCTGAGCCAGAGGAGCAGGAGAGAGCCTCACACACAACAGGGCCTCCCTGAAATTTCAGTTCATCTATCCACAACTTTCCTGCAACTTCTCATTTTCTTAAATTTATTTTTAGATACCATTGGGATTATCTAGTTTGCCTTTCAGAATAAACTTCTATTACATATATCCCACATGGAGTTGTTACATATCTCACATCTCACTTTAAAACTGAAGTTCAATGGAGTTGAGTGCTGAGTATTATTTTCCAATTTTGATGTAACTCTAAGTTTGAATATTGGCCCCACGGGCAGTAGAAAAGAAAAAAAATAAATTCTGGTTAACCCACCTTTGAACTTACACCTGAGTGGCATGGGATTGAATAAATTCCAAGTAGATTGGCATTTTTCTTGACTATGAATTAGGGGAGATTTTATTTTATAATTTAAATAACGGGTTTTATATCTATACACACATTGTTATATTTAGGGAAACATGGAGCTTATTTTTACATTGTAAGTTCTCAAATGTTCTGACAACCTATATTCTGTCCACAAATGATGAACTCCCGGAAGACCTTTGCATGTTGCTATTATTCTCCTGTTGATCAGGAATGCTGGGTTTTTTGTTTGTTTGCTTGTTTGTTTTGGGAAAAGTTTCCCAGAGAATGTAAAACATGAATTCAAAGGGACACAGGCCCTCCTTCATGCACTGCAGCAGTATTTACAAGCTCTAAGCCAAGGAAACCTAAAGTGCTCACTGACACAGGAGTGGGCTAGGGAGATGTGGCATGTGGATCAGTGGGCTGCGACTCAGCTTCCCAGAGAAAGGTGTGCACTTGCCATTTGCAGCAACATGGATGGAACTGGCAGGGAATATGCTCATTCAGAAGCAGAAACACAAAATTTGAAGAATTCACTCCTCTTGGGTTATAGAGAAACAAAGCAAGGGACACACAGAGCTAACTGCAATCATCCTAGAAATCTGAGTGTAGAATTGAGTCTACCAGAGGGTGAGGGGGAGGGATTGTGGGCAGCGGAGGAGTTACTTGGTGCATAACGGCCAAGGGTGGAGAACTGTGGGCCCCTTGGTGCTGGGTGTGGTGGGCATCTGGAGAGGTGTGCACATATACCTCTGAATCATATGCCGTTTCCTTAAACTACTGTTATCTCAGTAAAAATTATATACAAAACAAAAAATAAGAAACACCCGTATGTTGGACTTCTGTGCTCTAAATGAAACTAAGATAAGGACAATAGCAGAGTTCAGTCATCCCTAAGAAACCACACCTCTGTGATAACTGTGGTGTGCTAACAGGAAGAAGTAGGTATCACCCCAAGGACTGGAGATCACAGAGGAAATATGGGTTCAGTGCGACCCAGACCTCAGGAATAGGATCCTGGATCTAGGGCTGAGGATGTGGTTAGCCGGCCTACAGCAGGAGTCCTTGGTAGTTCCAATGAACCAAAGACCTGGTATTCAAGTCTCTGGGGGTATGATTATGGGGAGCTGGACAGTATTAAAACATTATAAATTGTACATGATCTATTAGATTAAAATGAGAGAATATGTAACTGTATAATACATAATACCAATAAATATTGTTAAATTATAATTTAGTAACAATATTTATGAAATAAATTTAAATATAAATATACATTGCATAAAAATCTTTGCAAGGACACAGGTGTAGATAGGATTAGGTGTTTACATATATCTGTGTGTGTATACCTGTGTCTATATATGTACCTATGTGTGTGTGTGTAGATATCGGGCAGAAAAAGTTAATGCAGATGCCAAGGCAGATGTTGTTTAGGAGACACTGGCAGGACAGTGCTGAAAGAGGTCCCCAGGGCTCCGGTCCCACTCTAGTTCTCATATTGAAAGAAAGAAATGGGAGATGGTTAGCAAAAGTGGATTGCATTTTGAAGCAGACATTCTCTGTGTGGCATGGCAGATAACAAGGGGGAAGTCTATTTGAAACTGAGATCCAGCAAATTAAACACATACACACTTCAAGGAGCTGTGCCTTGGGCCAAGGGAAGCAAAACACTAATTTCATGAAAAAATTGGACCACAGATTGCTTCCATAAGGGAAAGAACAAATATGCCAGAATTAGCATCTTTTGCACTTGATTTACCAGCTCATGCTTATGAACCTGAAAATAAAAAAAAAAAATCTCAGATCATGGTCAATAAATGACACATTTCTATTTCGAAGAGTCTCAAGCTTAATATATAGAATCACTAAAGATTAGCTTTCATCTGTGTCCATGTGCGTTAGCATTCTTCAATATGTGAAGTCAAAACAGTTCTCTTTTCAAGTGACTTTGGAAAATTTTGTTCAATGTTCTCTGGTTCTTTGCCTGTCCCTTACATATCTCATCCAAATCAAAACGATGGCAACTGTTAATAATAGTAACAATTGCAATCCCCATAATAGGAAAAGGTATACATAACTATCCTCTTCAGTTACATTTCGTGGCATGGGTGGGCCACTGTCCACACTGCCTCCATGTCCTCTTCTCAGACAGAAGGGAGGTTTCCACTCCGGGTCACAGTGGCAGTGATCTTTATTGTTACAGATCCCATTCCTGTTGCAGGTGTCCCATGAACAGCGACTAGTCAATAGTGCCGCGGGGACACATTTCCTATGGAGGCAGATACGGTCCACACCACACGTTGTTCCGTCTTTCACTTCCCCAATGTCAGGAATGGTCATCCCAAAATGGTAGTCTGTACCCCAGCAGGTTACCCCATTGAAGTGGGCCCAGTGCACTGTAGTGTGATCGCTCAGAAGGGGGAGTTCTCTCACACCATCACACTGAACCCTCCCACACAGGACGTCTGCGATTGCACATTTGACATATGCAGGACCTTTCCACCCACAGTGACCAAAACGGTCTCCTCGGGTGTTCACTTCACTATAGCATCTGTGATTTGCATTCTTAGCCTCTTTGCCAAAAATTTGCCTACACTGCTCCACACGGTCGTTGCATCTCTTTTCATAGCAGTGGCCACTCTCTGAGCAAGGAACCCCGTCCTGCACATACACATCTTCTGGACAGAGGTAGGATGTCCCGTTGCACCACTCTGGAAGGTCACATTCGTTTTCCCGTTCTCTACACAACGTGCCCGATGGCTTGAGTTTGCAGAATTTGCAACAAAGCCCAAAGGCACAAGCAGACCCGTTTGACAGCGTGCAGTTTGACTCACAGCAGGGATCATCTTCACAGGACGTCACTGAGCCACAGTCACACTCTTCGCCTTCTTCCACCACCTTGTTCCCACAGAGACTGTGCCTGAATCTTCTGTCATGCTCGGGAGGAACCCTCAGGCAGGTTGTTTTGCCAACATAGTTCCAAAAGTCAGCATAACTGCAGTTGCTAAACTTAGTTGATTTCACTTTCTGAGGATACATAATGCAATGTTCTTGCCCACATGCACACAGTGGCTCATCATGCATCATTCCTAAATTATGACCAAGCTCGTGTGCCATAATGTATGAAAATTCATACAGGTCGTCATAAACAGCGCTAAGAATTGCACAATTATATTTAGTGCTACACACTGATGCTACATATGCTAATCCAAGAGTTATCCCATATTGTTTCTTTACAAAAACATGTGCAACATCATGTGGCAAGCGGGCTTCAAAGCCTGTTTTCTTCCATTTGCAAAATGCCTTCAACAAAGGGTCAATAAGATCTATCGGAAGGGGGTTTGATTCTGTCCAGATCTCAATGCCGATTAAAACTATATCAACTTCCAGTGGTATATAAAAGCCATGTAAGTAATTGATAACAAGGCTCACTTCTGTGTACACCTTGGAGACATTACTCTTTTTATGAAGGTACCGGTTGTGGTCGACTACCACTGCCAGCTCCACAACCCGCTGGTGGGTCCACCACCCTTCATACCCGCTCTGCATCAACGTCGGGTCACTGTCCTCCTGAAACTTCAGCTGCCGTGCTATTTCTTCATCTGTTAACCCACATCTCATGGACAGGCCTGTCTCCTCACTGTCCAACTTGTACACCAAATGTTCAAATGTGGTAGAATGTTCTTTGGGCTCGATTTCATAAATGGTGTCATTTATCTGTAAGATTCCTCTAAGGCCACCAAAACAGGTGCTGAGGACCACCAGGGACTGTGGGTCCCCCACCACATAGCCATGATAGTAGCAGTCATTCTGGACAACTGGATGGTCCTCAATGAGGGCACCCTGGTCAGTGTAGCTGAACACCGGCAGGTGTCTGGCCAGCAGATGCTTCTGGACTCTCATGTGGACAATGTGTCTCTGTCCCCCAAAGTGCAGGCTGTAAGAGAGCCAGTCCTGAGGTTTCACAACTCTGTCAGGGCCTGTCACTCTGCGGGGAATCACCACTTCTGGGGGACTGTGGAGCTGGGCGTGCCCCATCCGAGCCCACCCCCAGTGGGACAGAAACAGCCTGAGCCAGAGGAGTAGGAGAGAGAGCCTCACTGGCACCAGGGCCTCCTGCCCTGCCATCGTGGAGCCAGCACATGGGGCTACTGGGGAGCAACAGGGGGTGGGGCAGGAAGCATCACTGATGTGTCTCTTCCCTCTGGCATGGCTGTGCAGGGCTGGCCTTGACCCCCTGTCCTCTGGCAGTGTCACAGCCCCAGGGCAGCGGCTCTAAAGAGAAAATAGAAGGAGGGGCTGAGTCAGGGTGGGAGAGATGAACAGGCTGAGGGGAAGGAGGGAGAGGGTTTGGGTAAATGGATTATAGTTTGGCTCAAGACATGAGCCCACACTGCAGTGCATCTGCCCTGAGAGAAGGTGGGACAGAGACCAGGAGGGTGTGGAGAGTGGAGACTGCACAGGCTGTAAGATTGGAGTAAAATGATGGCTAATGGGGCCTCCCTGGAGGTGCAAGTAGTTAAGTCTCAGCACTGTAAAGTCATTAGTCACCATTGCAGCGTGAGTTTGATGCCCGGTCAGGGAGCTGACTCACATGGCACCTAAGACCTCACCTGCCTCACCCACTGCTCCCCTCAGCAGTGTATTCCAGTACATCTGCCTATTCTGCTCCCCACTCTGACTCTGGTAAATTCTCTCACCCCACTCCCACACCTCTGGCATACACCCCAGCTCTCGTATGCATAAATAGCATAAATCTTTTAAAAAAATTTTTCAATAATAAAAAAGATGGCAAATAAGTACCTTTAAAAATGCAAATAAAATCAATACATCCCACAAGGAGGATGGGAGTATTATTGGTGGTCACATTTTATTGGACAAAGATGTCAAAGTTCTTGCATTTTCAGGATGACAAGGTAACTAACTCCCAAGTTCAACATTCAAATATATTGCACTCAAAACTCAATTACACATATATATCTTATTTGGTAAGTGCAAATAAAAATGCATCTCAATAACTTAATGGTTTAGCACAATTTTTTGAAATGATAATTCTAGCACTATCCCAGGGCTTGCTGCCAACTCTGAAATTTTTTTGTCACATGAAATATGTATCAGAGTCCTATATTATTCAAACACTGTTCTACACAGTTGGAAACCATAAATGAAAAATAGAGTCTACTGCCTATTTTTATTATGTGGTGTACTGTCCACAGGATATTCTTAATCATTATCTGGTCATTAACCATCGAAGAGTATTTAGTGTAATGACATTAAGAACACTAAGACAAATCGAAACACAGTGGAGAATGAAGTCTGGTTGGACATATGGAAACATATTGTTCACATCCACTCCCAGCGCACTTCTGGTGCCAAAGTCCACCAGAAAATGGAAGTTCATTCAGTGAAATATTAGAGTCCAACATCTATGTGTAAAATATGAGTAAAATCTTTATAAACTTATTTTCTCTCCATGTGTCTCTTAATATATATGATGATTGCTACGAAATATGAGCTATTGTTGTGAAGAAAAATAATTATTTGTGAATAATATAGTACAGATGAGAGAGTTTAATCAAATAATACCACCAAAATTTATTGCTAAGACCTCATCTTGAAAGCATGTGACAATAAAACACTCACCAGAGATTATTTTAGCTAGACTACATGTATCCTCATAATATTATTTTGTTAGTAACTCAGGAACTCATGCCCTGAAAGAATAAAGTATTTTCATCAGTGCTGTGCTATCACTTGTAAAGGAACATACATCAATTGTTAACATTTCTTTTATAATTTTCTTTTTCCCCAGAGTTTTATAAAATTGATCAATTTGTACCCTAATTTCCATTCTGTTGTTACCCTCATTGAGTAACAATCCATTAAAAGACAATTTTTGTATTTTTAAACCAGTGACATTGAGTTGAATAGGGAAAAATAGATGTTGCAGAACTTACTCAAGATTTTGATAAAATCACATGGGTTTGTGTACTCATGCACACAAAATATTTAGTGCTTCTCTTTACAGACAATCCTTAATGACTCACCAGCAGAAGATATAATGGCGCCCATGGTTTATCTAACCATAGTCATATACATGGTTAGAGTTTTCTTCCCATATTAAGATCAGGGGATTTACTTGAGTGCTCTCATGACAAAGAGAAAATAATTCTACTCCTTTCTGTCTCTGATGTAATCAAATTCTAGATCTAGTTTCTTAGTAACAAGATTTACCCAATTCTACAGACCAGGGCAACTAGTTTGTTTTTCCTCACAGTGACTACAATTTTCTTGAAATTTCCCCCATAATTTATGCTCAATATCAATAAAGCTAACTATATTTCCTAATTGACATTTTATGGATCAAAGAAGGTGTGATCAAAAGTCCCAAGAGCTTCAAACAAAATCATTATAGACATATACACAACAAGACAGATCATGACAAAGCTGTTGAGAACCAATGGCAAGGACAGAATATTAAAAATATCAAGAGAAAAAGGGTGACCTATAAGGGTACACCAATCAGTTTGAACCATCAGAGGAGTAAGTCAAGGAGACATGTGACAACACACCACAGTGAATTTTGCAGACACAAGAAAGGATGAAATGCAGCCATGTTCAACAAAATGGCGGGGATTTAGCAAAGTATATGCAGCAAAATAAATCAGAACAACAAAAACAAAGATTGGACATTCACGTAACATAAAATTTGACAAGTAAAAGACTGTAATAATTAGTAGTCATATATTCCATATATGCTATCATTTATATCACATGTATAAATTGCTATTTTTTTTTTTTAGGATTAGTGTTTTTTTTTTAATATTTATTTATTTATACAAGCACTGGGTACAGTCAGAAGCACAGTAGGGTGAGAGAATTCACCAGAGCCAGAGCGGGGAGCAGAACAGGCAGAAGGACCAAAGTACACTGCTGAGGGGAGCAGCGGGTGGCAGGAGAGGTCTGCGCGCCATGTGGGACCCTCGCCGGTGGCTGGGGATCAAACCGGCGCTGCAGAGGCTGTGGGCAGCTTCGCAGCTCAGCGATCAACCACTGCGCCACCAGGGGAGACCCTATTTTTATTTCTTTAACCAATTATTTCTTGACTCTCTCCTCAATTTAGTCTTCTTTTCACCTAATCCTGTCAGCATGCAAGAATCAAAGCATCAATTGCCTACACATTCATTAGTATCTACCATGATGGTTATTATCCACAGACAACGGTGGTAGTATTGGAGAAGCAAATCCATGGGTGAACAGGTAGATATCACTCAATGTGTTGGACCTTGATTATATCTTAATAGGAACATGTTTCAAAACTTCTGGACAAATGAAATGAAAAAAAATGCTAAATGAAAATGAACTGTGGAAATTGGTGCATAATGATGGCAAATTTAGTCCTTTTGGAAATGCAAACACAATCAATACATTCCAAAAGCAGGAACAAATGTAATGGGGAAGGTAAAATTTTACTGGAGCAAAGATGTTGGTTCTTGCATTTTGGGATGACAAGGTAACCAAATCCAAGTTCAACACTCAAATATATTGATCTCAAATCAAATTTACACATCTATACCTTATTTGGTCAATGCAGAAATAAATGTATCTCAATAATTAAAAGGTTTGCATGTGTTACTGAAAATGAGCAATCTTGTGCTATCTCATGGCTTGGTTACCAACTCTTTCAATTTTTTAAATGTGAAAATACCCAAATTTTGACATGATATCCTGATGTTTCATCCTAAAAGATGAAATCAGGGATATATATTTCAATAATATATGCTTTTAATATTTCATCTTTCTTATCTACATTTCTGAACTTTGTGATTTGTAGTCAATTCCTCCCAATACACTGAATCTCAGTTGAAATTACACATTGTAATTTTTCCTGGAATACTTGTTATTGAGTTTCACAATAGCAGTTTAAATTGTAACACCAAGATTTCTACTTCTGGAGTATTTAATAATGGATTTGATGTTTTCATTTGATTTTCTGTGTTTTTTTTTCTATTACAGATAGTGCGGAACTTGTTTCAGTCTGTACATCCTCGCCATCATTAAATTAACATTAGTTCTCAAATCACTTGTGTATTTTTCTAGTACTAAAGTGAAGGAGAATTTTACCAAATGCCAAAAGTACCTTAGACAAACTAGTTTATTTAGTGAAATATTTGAGTCCAATATTTGCAAACTATGAATAAATCCTAATAACTGTTTTGTTCTCCATGTCAATTTCAATATATCTGGTGATTATCATGAATTATGAGCTATCATTATGATAGAAAATAATTGTAAATAATATAGAACTGTTGAGAGTTAGTTTAACCAACATAATACCACCATAATTTATCACTACCATGCCATCTTCAAATGACAGGATAATCATCTTTAGAGAATATTTTAGCTAAACTACATTTGTCCTCATTACATTACTTTACTAAATGACCCCAGAAACAAACCTCCTGATAGAATCTGGCATTATCATAAGTGTTGTGCTATCACATATAAAGGAATAGAATTTCAAGTCTTCTGTTATCTTTGTCCTTTATGTTATCTTTGTCCTTTATGAATTTATATTTCCCCAGAGTTTCATTAATTCCATCAATCTCTGTACCCTATTTCCACTTCTGATCAAACATTCATTGAGTAACATCATTTAAAGCCTAACTTTGTGCTTTAAACAAGTGACATTAAATAGAATAGGGGAAATAAATGCAGCAGATCTTACTCAAAATCAGAAGTCTTGGTAAAGACCCATGCGGGTTGTGTTTGTGTGTGTGTTTGTATTCATGTATACACTAATATTCATGCTTCTCCTTACAGATAAATTCTTGTATGACTCACCAGCACAACAAATAATGGTTCCCATGATGCTTGGTAACTATAGTTGTGTTCATGGTAGTTTACCTGCCCATAATTATGAGCATAGAATTTTTCTTGAGTGCTCACATGACAAAGAGAAACATAATTTCTATTCCTTTCTGTCTGATGTAATAAAATTCTAGATCCAATTGCTTAGTAACAAGAGTCATCCAGTTCTACAGACCAAGGCAACTAGTTTGAGTTTTTCTTTGTATTGATTTCTCAGTTTCCTATGTCATTTCTCTTCAATATGAATAAATCTAACTATATTTCTTAGTGACATTTTATAGACCCAGAATGTGTGAGCCAAAAGATCCAAAATAAATAAAATTCAATAAAGAGGTTACTATGTTACACCAAACTTACATTATTAAAAAAATATATAAGCACAGATATAGAGTCTAATGTCAGACAGGAAAAAGAAGATCACAACTCCTTTTTTTCATCTAATTTGATTACCAAACCCAGCAAGTGAAAAAACTGTGATCAAAGGATTTGTTAGGCAGCTGTGATTTGAGGTGAGAATATTCACAAATCACATAGATTACTAGCAATTCCCAATTATTTATGGGGTCCAATTATATTTTAAATATTTCTAAGTACTGACATGATTGTTCATAATTATTCTATATATTCTCTCTTCCTCTTCTCTTTTATATGCTGAAAGTTTTTATTACATAACATTTTTACCTGTTTACTGGATATTTAATCTTGCTGATTATTGGTATAAAAATGTCTTTTAGGGCCTCCCCGGTGGCGCAGCGGTTGAGCGCTGGGTTGCGATGCTGCCCGCAGCCTCTGCAGTGCCGGTTCGATCCCCGGCTGCTCCCCGGCCACCAGAGGAGGGTCCCACATGGCGCGCTAGACCTCTCCTGCCGCCCGCTGCTCCCCTCAGCAGTGTACTTCTGTCCTTCTGCCTGTTCTGCATCCTGCTCTGACTCTGGTGAATTCTCTCACCCTCCCGTGCTTCTGACTATACCCAGTGCTTGTATAAATAAATAAATCTTAAAAAAAAAAAATTAAAATTAAAAAAAAAAAAATTAAAAATGTCTTTTATTGATATTATTAAATTGAGGTGGGAGAGGGAGAATAGATCAGTCTACAATTTTTTTTTGCACAACTGCCTATACATATGTAAAGAACAAAACTAACTTAAACCTTTACTTCATGCTATACAGCAAAATTAATATAAAATGAAATTACAGCTATAAATATAAGAGGGAAATCTTCCTAACTTAAAAGAAAATAAGAACATGTCTTTGTCAACTTCCTCTGGCAAAAAGTTTTCCTATGAAACCTAAAGCAGGACCCAACAAAATTAAGGAAAAAGATTAGCGGTCATATAATAAATAAAATTGAGCTTTAAAGGACACCATTAAAAAGATAGACCAACATACAGAAAGAAAATATGTGTCAATCATGTATTTGTAAACACCTTGTACTGAGAATATTACAATGATGTGAAGACTTTTTCTTAAGACAAAAATCCAACTAACAAACTTTTTATTGCCACTAATGAAGAAGGTATATGGGAAGGTACTCAACATCATTATTCATTGGGGAATGAAAATGAAAACCACCACAAAAAAGGCTACAACAAAAGCAGAGTTTGTGTGAAAAGTGAAGGAACTAGAACTATCTTACATTTATGGGGGTGATAATGTGTTCAGACTCATGAATGCACAGCTAAAATATCGTGCAATATGAACCTCAAAAACACTGTTCTAGGGGCCTCCCTGGTGGCGCAAGGGGTTAAGACACAACCTATGAAGCTATCTGCAGCCTCTGCAGTATGAGTTTGTTCCCCAGCCAGGGAGCTACCCACATGGCGCAGCAGACCTCTCCTGACTCTCAGCAGTGTATTTCAGTCAATCTGCCTGTTCTGTTCCCCTCTGTCTCTGGTGAATCCTCTCACCCCCTACACCTCTGGTCTGTACCCCAGTTCTTGTATGCATAAATAAATAAATCTTTAAAAAAAAACACTGTTCTAAAGGTAAGAAACTAGAAACAATGACTATATATGACATGAGAAAGCAAATGTATAGATTCAGTGGATTTCCAGTTAAATATCAGGAACACTTCATTAGACTTCTAATGTAGGATTTAGGGTGAAAGTTCTCAGATTTGTTTTGTGTTCTTTAAGTTCTAGCTCACAGTTTTGTTTTATAAGTGCTTTCCAGTATAGTTCACACTGTTAAAGCTCATGAAGATGAGGGGGTTTTCTTTTGTCAATGGAAATATCTTGCTAGTTTTACCCCATTAGTCCTTGGTGGACTACTCCCTTTAAATGTCAGAAAAGCAACAGTTTGTGTTAGAGGATACTGTCGAGAACTGATGAAAAGCTATAAACTGTTCTTGCAGTTGTCTAAGTACTTACACTTGTTCAGTTAGTAACTTATTGAAACTCAATTGAAGATGCACTTTTAAAGCATTTGATTAATAGGAGGAGTGTCTGAAATATAGATGGTGCTCTTGGAAGATTAAAGAATTAAAAAGATGATTCAATATTTTTCATTTTGCTTAATTTTTAGTTAATTATTTAATTATTTTTAATTGAGGTACCATTACCTTGCATTTCTGTTGGTATTTTGGAAGTACTGGGTCACACGCCTCTTCTTAGGTGTCACCACCTTCTTGAATCTGCCACAAAATCACCCATAGCTCACAAAACAATGAGTATTTTTTAAGTATCAATTTTGTTTCATTTCCTCTGCTAATTGAAAAGTGAAAATGGGTTATTTAAAAAGATGACAATAGGATGGGGCCTCTCAAGCGGCGCAAGGGGTTAAGCACTGCACAGTGAAGCAATCCACAACCTCTGCAGCACAAGTTCGATCCCCAGCCGGCCAGGGAGCAACCCACATAGCACAGCAGACCTTTTCTGACTCACCCGCTGCTCCCCTCAGAAGTGTATTTCAGTCAGTCTGCCTGTTCTGTTCCCCACTCTGTCTCTGGTGAATCCTCTCCCTGCACCTCTGGCCTGCACCCCAGCTATTGTACGCATAAGTAAATAAATCTTAAAAAAAAAAAAAGGTGACAATAGGAATATATATGATATTTGCATATGAATTTAAATTAAAATTTTCTAAATGACAGATGAATATTTGGTATGATGGAGTCTTGAATTATATATATATGGACATTGTATAAGTATCAATATTTATGTTTCTTTTCAATTTTACCTTACAAATTATATAGTCACATTTGTCAGGAAAGATAAATATTATTCACAAATCATCAGTGTCATATTCTGTAATATATGCCTCGATGTGATTAGTTAGTATTTATCCTATGTCTTCTCTGAGTTCTTTCTTTCATCTACACCTGGGAAAACGCAATGGACAGGGCATCAATTTTGTGTTAAAAATATTAGTGTCAGGGGCCTCCCTGGTGGTGCAGGGGTTAAAAACAGTGCTATCAGACGAGATGGGGCGCATTCAGGGTGGTTTAAAAATGAACAATGATGTAAAAAAAATGCCTATGTAGGTCACCAGAGAGGTGACCTACATGGTGCAGCAGACCTCTCCTGACTCACCCGCTGCTCCCCTCATCAGTGTGTTTCAATGGATCCACCTGTTCTGCTCCCCATTCTGTCTCTGGTGAATCCTCTCATCCCCCACACCTCTGGCCTGTACCCCAGTTCTTATATGCATAAATAAATGAATCTTAAAAAATGTTAGCGTCTATTGTAATGGTACCTTAGTTCAATAATGAATGCACAACTGCACACTAAATGAAGGAGTGTATTGTGTTGGAGGTGGAGATTACTCTTGTGTCTATTTTATTTTTAAAGATTTATTTATTTTAAAGATTTATTTATTTATACAAGCCCTGGGTACAGTCAGAAGCATGGGAGGGTGAGAGAATTCACCAAAGCCAGAGCGGGGAACAGAACAGGCAGATTGACCGAAGTACACTGCTGAGGGGAGCAGCGGGCGGCAGGAGAGGTCTGCGTGCCATGTGGGACCCTCGTCCGGTGGCTGGGGATGGAACCGGTGCTGCAGAGGCTGCAGACAGCTTTGCAACCCAGTGCTCAACCACTGCGCCACTGGGGAGGCTCTCTTGTGTCTATTTTTAATTATACTCTAAAAAGAAAAACATTTACAAAAAAACTTCAAACATATAAAATGGAACTAAATTAAACTAGTTGAGAGAATAACAATTGGAGATGGAAATACTCTGAAGGCGAATGAATGTATCTTCAGAAATGCAAAGGAGAGCAATGGATGCTGATAGGAAGTGGGGAAATTGGGGGAGGCATATTGTCTTAGGGTGGCAAACGCACAAAGTCCCCACATTTAAAAACAATCAAATGGCATCCTATTCCCCCATTTGATCTTGAAATTTACTTTACAAATAAAAATACATAATAAACACCTTGTATAACATATTTGTTAATATGAAATCAGCTGCTAGCACAATGCCTGGCTGGCAATATTGATTTGCTTCTTTCTTCTTTAAATAAAATATTGATAAAAACATATGCGTTGACAGTGTGCTCTCACTTGGGAAATGTAAATGAGCACACAGGTTGAGATAATTGTTTTCATCTCAAGTTGCCCTCAGTGTTGAGGGTATTAGGAATATGAAGCAATGCATTCAATATTTTTTGCACAAAATGCACATTTTTAACTTGCTAGTGAAATATCTATAGTCTTCGTCACATCATTAAGTAATGAAATTGTTTAAAGTAGTCACACCAATAAGCCTTTGTCCAGTTGAAAAAACAGGAAAGAGAAATTGTTTGTGAGGAATCTAAAAAACACTGATCAAATCCTCTTCTCATAGTAGGTGATAAAAAATGAAAGATGCTGACTAAGGAGATAAATATTCAAAACCTCTACTCATTTCTGCTGAATTCTTTATTTTTCTTGATTCTGTGTCCCTTAACTATTTTGTCTGGAAAATATTTCCCTGATAATTAGGGATTCTCCCTTTCGTGAAATAAAACAACAATCTCTCCTGTCTATATATTTTCATGGAAAACACCTTATTCCTATTTTTTCGCCTTTATTATCCTGTCAATATGAACCGGCTAGAGATAGAGATTTCCACATTTGTATCCCCACATGCCATGAAGGTCAGTTTATGTGATTAGCAAAA